TACGAATTGGATTAATTTTTTTTCAAAAGCTGTGTTGTGAAGAAATTTTTAGAACAAAATGAATTCTAAATGGAATTTAACTTAGCTCAACATATATAAATATTTAAAATAAAATCTTACTTGTTTTCTCTAGTTATCTTTCATTTTTTCAGATCCATTTTTAACTGTAAATATGGCTTTACTTGACACATTTATAAGTCCAATAACCCTAGTGTCTCTATGAGAACTTTATACGAACTAACTGAAATTTCATGACTCATCAGTACCTTGAAGACAACTTATTGAATTCCAATAAGGACAACCCTTCCGCGTATCAGGATAATAATTATGTAGGCTCTAGGGCGAGCTTAAGAGAAGATTCCATATAATGAACTGTATATAAAAACATTTCATTAAAACCACTGGTCGTTCTAGGATCCGAGTTTATCACAAATAAGGGTTAGGTGGATAATAACCGAGGGTTATGTTGACAATTTATATTTATGGACTTGAAATAAATATATAAATCATTACTAACGATAAATAATATGTGCAGCTAATTTGTCAACTTTTTCATAGCTCAATTGAACAAACTTTTGGTGGTCGCAATTTTCAAAACGAGCAACATTGCAACAATTTTAAAACCTATTATGATTTCATGACTATTATAAAACTGCTTAATATGTTCAATATTAACAAAAATATAAAAGTATTACGGTAGCAAATAAATTTAATATGTATATAAATCAGCCTTACCCGTAGAACACCAGTAAAACCTAGTCTCGGGATCGATATCAACTTCGGCCAGCTAAGTATCAAGCAATGTGATATCAGGATTTTACTTGAGATTATAGATTGAAACCAGTCTTTCGTGCAAAAAATTAAAACAAAAGTTAATTATAGTCATAACTAAGATAATACAACTACCATGTTGCCTTCCATACAACCCATAGATCGTAATTTAAAAAAGTATATAAATGTGTTTTATTATCTTTTAATTAAATATTTTTCCTTTACTTGCAGGAACGCCAACGAGGAGTAGGTCTCAAGCAAGTTTAGCATTAGAAATATTTGAACAGCATCAAGGAACACATATTTTACAGGTAATTATACATTATCATTTAAAATGTTTATAGGTATATTTTGATATTTTGTATTCAAATTTGTATTAAAACTAATTTTAATATTAATTTTTTTTCTTACAGTCTCTTGATGGTTTCGCATTATCTGTAGCTGCCGACGGTAGATTTTTATACATATCTGAAACAGTTTCAATATACCTTGGGTTGTCACAGGTAAGAAATCTAAATTTATACATATATGTTATATATATATATGCATTTTCTAAAAATTATATTTGATAAAACGTTAAGCTATATTTGTTTACCATAGTGCGTATGTAATAAAACTAAAATTTTGAATTTATTTTTTTTACCGATTCTTCGTTTTATCTTATAACTTATGTCTGTAGTCTTCTGTATGTATGTAAGGTTATTTATTTGATCAACAAAAACTAAAACCGATTTCTAACAAAACAAATACTTGCAAAATAATTTTAAAGGCTAACGTTCTGTGTTGTAGCTCTGATGCTACTAAAACTGATGTCAGTTAATATATAAACTGTTATGGTTATATAAACAAACTATAAGAGATAAAATATTTGGTAAAAAAAAAACTATATTAACCCTTTCCGCTCGGTACCGATTCGGACGTTATAAAAAAGCAACTCAGCGCCGTATTCTGAAGAGAGAGTATCTGCTGTAAACATGTATGTTATGCAATTTCTCTTATATGAATTCGTGGATTTTTAATAAAATACATTTACAATACTATGTTAAAGTTCAAAGCAATTTCCAAAAGGCATAGCGGATTGATTCCAATGTCTTTATAATTACTTACAATTAGTGTCATGACAGTTTTTTTTTTCATTTTACAGAAAAGTGAAATATATCGTTTTTTATGTCTTTGTTTTTTAATGAAAATTTTGCTTAATTTATACTTCGAAAAATAACTAATACTGAATTATAAAAAGAGGACACTCTCATATCTCTGCGTAGATTTATGCTAAAAATAAGCAACCCTTCTAAATCGCGAGCTGCATGAATTTTAGAAAAACATTACATTGTTACATTATAATATAAAAACATTAAATTAAAAAAAGTTAATATTTCATAAACTGATGCAACAAGAATAAAAATTAATTTATTAATGGAAGAAAATTGATAAAATCAATAAACTTCTGCTTTAGAAATTCTTGGCGGTCCGCAGAAAAATATTCAAAAGAAGCATGAAGCGCGCTGGTCGTGGGTGGTTGCATATTCTTGATCTATTCGACGCTTTAATACGAACTGAGTCATTCACAAAATCGCGCGCTGTCGAGTGATAGATTAGACATATATTGTCCCTTCTTAGGGACAGCCGAACGGCTTCTTACAACAATATATAGTTACTAGAATCATTCATACGAGGTGTGGCAATTAAGTAATGAGACTGATTATATTGCCGCGATTGTGATAATCCTACGACTTTAAAATTGCCTTTCCCTTCTCCCGGCATCCTTCCCCTCTTTATTGATATATTTTTCATGGCTTGTTTAGTTTGCCTGCTCTGCCTTGTTGAGTAAACGTGTGTTCCTAGGAAAAAAATTTACGTAAAATTGGACGAAACAGCTTCGGAAATGTACGCTAAAATTGTAAATAATATAAATGTAAATATGGGACTACTTTGAAGGGGATGATAGAGTTGTAGAATAGTTTTAAAATATACGGTTTTTATGGAATTGGTCTCATTACTTAATTGCCACACCTCGTATATTGCTCGTAAGGAATTTATTGGCTGTTGAACGAAAACCGCGCTGTAGGAGAACCATGTTATAGGAGGGCTGTCGCAATTTCTAATCCGCATAGTATAGATGCCGTATGAAAGAAGAACTGAATATATGTGTAAAATATGTGTATATTAATATACATGTATGTATGTGTGTATGTGCATGCATTTGTTTGTAAACACGTATAAATACTGTTTATTGACTATTAGTATTCTCACACAAACGTATACCTTGAATGAAAGGTGCGCAACTCTTTATTATGTAGCGGTGTTAGTTGCTACATGGCATGTTGCTGCATGTATCTACGTGGACGTGCTACGGAGTCGATGATCCTCCTAGCTCATAGCTCGCTCGCGTAGCTCTATGCCGTAGCATCACTAGTGTTAGAAGTATCGAGGCAAAAAATCGATATTGAGTACTTTAAAAAGTATCTAATTAAAATATCGATGCCAAAAAAATATCGTGGCGAAAGTATCGATAGTACTCAATATCGAATTTTGAGTACTTTTCATAAAAATCAAACATAAGTGCAAGAAAGATCTAAAACTCATTAAATATCATATCACAATATTAGAATGAATTCTATTGCTTGTATCTGATGTGTTAAATCAGAATCATTTTCAATATTGTAAAATGTTAACAGTAATTTTTCAATACTAATTTCTATACGTCTTAAAAAAAAGACAAGTTATAATAGTTGAGTATTTTTGATTAATACAATATAATAGTCTGATACTATATTAAATATGCAATACTTTTTAAGTATTTTTAAGTACAATAATATTTTAATATTTTTAAGTAAAATAATATTTTATAATTGTTGAATATTTTTATATGAATAATTTTAGCGAGCATGCAACTTTAAAAAGCCGTTACATGTTCACATAAAAGTGCAATATGAAACTCTTTGGAAAGCAATAAACATTCATTTTAATGGCGGTCAAGATAATATTTCGACACTTGTAGAGAAACATCCCTTCGGAGCGATGGGATTTTAAAGTTTAAATGGTTCCGAGAAACTCAAACCAAATGTTTGCATGTTGATATTCAAAAATTTCAATAATAATACTCATTCATTTCAAT